TTGGTAACACTATATTCAATCGACGACGTAATATTTTCTTTATAGCTGCTTTTAGTGGATCAGTAAATTGAAATAATGTAATCTTTACTAATAACATTGATGCATTAACAAATAGAAAGCCGATACGAAAGTGATATTTTGGTGCATGATTAAAGAATGATAGAAAAATAAATAGACTTAATGGAAAACCACTGATAAATAAAATCTGAACAAGAGTAACAACTCGACGAACCATTTTTAAATCTCTTTGTGCACGAGACAATGTATTTGCTGCAGTAACACGTTGACTCATTTCACGAACAAATCGAACTAATTTCATATAAATGAATATAACTAAATGAACGGGAACTATATAAATAAATAATGGTGCATAAAGAATTAAGAATGAAAATCCAAGTGGTACTTGACATATTTGATTATCAACATTATAGACAATTGCATTCGTAAATATATAAACAATAGGAAATAAAAGAGCTAAAAACCATCCTATAACAATGAGTATGATTTGTGCACGTGCTGATTGCCAAAATAAACGAGTTGGGTGCACTATTGTTAGATAGCGATAAATAGCGGATGTGACATATGAATAATTATGTAATGCACATGTACTATAATTGAAAAATCCAATAATAAAACAAAACGAATCTTCATATTCAGTTTGTTTAAGATCATTGTATAATGTAAATCCATTCATTCCAATTGTATCGATTCCACATAACAATCCAGTTAAACATATATTTGCAGTTAATAACATTGGAACTGTATGGCATGTTTTATCCATAATGATAATAATGAGAGCAATGGTAGCCAATGCAATGGTCAAGGCAAGACATATTATTGCTATAATATCGAGAGGAATAAACCATGATTCGACTGTTGTTGAGTTCATAGTTAATATCAACAATTTTTGTCTGAAGAGTTCTTTTTTTTTTTGCACTTTTTGTCAGTTGAAAAAAATGTTTTTATATGCAAGATGAAAGAGAAAAATGTCATAAACTGTTTTTTTGTTGTTCCAGCCACTTCGGTGAGTTCTTTCAAAGAATAATCAGAAATGGTTAATATCAAAATATAGAATTTTAAATAAAAAGAATTCATTGATGTGAAGAACTAAATCTGTTCTGGCATAATGATTTTATATCTATGCAATTAGTTTTTCTGTTGTAGTAACGGTAACTTCTTGTTGCTTGGCAAGTCTTGATCATATTTTAATTTAAGTTAATCTTGAAAATATGTCTGTAGCGTATTTGATCAGTAACTCAGACGTGGTCACAAGGAAAGAATAGTGATCAAACGTAGCTTTCCAAAAACAGAAAACAATGCTTTACACGAGTAGAGAATAAATAAACTGCGGTAAATCTTGAATCTACGTGAGAATATTCAAGTTAAGAATTGTGATATTGTACTCGATGGTAATTCTATTTATTATTAAATCTATAAACAGAATCCGTGACTTGATATGTAGATTTGGTGGTGAATATTATCCATATTATCATTATTACACCCAACCATCTCTTGAAGGTGTGGGTGAAGATACAGTAAGAACCACCCACACCCTCAAGATATTATGACAGTAGACGGCAAATATCGTAGCGTTTATTTTGATATTACAAATGTTGTTCCAGAATATGAAACATTCTTGAAACCATCAGAAAAAGAAAAATCGACTAACAACAAAACTAAAAATTCTTTCATTAATTTTTTTATGTATAATCTTTCTACGACTATAAAATAAAATGCAAAGATAATAGTCTTAATTATAACCATTTATTTAAAATCGAACTGATATCGATATCAGTAACATTGAAAAAAACATAGAAAACTACTCAGGTAAAAATTTTAGTCCAAAAATTCTACTAAAATGTACTATTCATATTTTATTGAGAAGGTGTCGTTGTGAGTTTCGATGCTGAGCTTGGCAGTCCATGCGATTCTGGAAGTGTGTAACTTTTCGTAATAGGGTGGCTCCTCTCACCTAAACATCCATCCAGCACCCATCGAATTTTTTCAGTGTTCGAATGCCTGATTCTCAAGAGAGGTGTACCAACAGCATCTATATAATTAAAAAAAATATTTGTGATCAATTAAATTAATAAATACAGCATTTGAACAGATAAGAAAAGAACAATTAGTTTTAATGAATTACATTTTTTTAAATATATTTCACATCTAATTACGTATTAAGGAAAAAATATAAACGAAAAGAAAATATCATTAAAATGAAGAAAATTAATAACATACGCATGTCCATCCACGTTGTTCATTTTTATTGATAATATGATGAATAAAATTCACTTCATAGTTACAATTTCTAGACAGTTAATAGAAATACGAAGAATTATTTGTTTAAGAATAAGAATATCAACAGATGCCGTTCTATGCCGCTAACTTTCTGTTTATTATTTGTGGTTGGTTTTCTTCTTTCCTTTTTATTCCATCAATCTTAGATTTACAAGACTTTTCCGGTTAGAGTTTTATCATATACGTCTTGCTCCTCTTCCATATTTTGTTGTTCTGAGTTAGAGAGAAGGTGTTGGCAGCGGTATATATATTGTTCTGTTCTGTGTGTTGAGAAAGTGTGATGTATCATCATTCTTTCTACATGGATTAGTGTTCGGTTATGGAATAAACTAACATCTCACAATATAAAAATGACTAATTTAAACTATTCTTTATATTCTACGTATTTCATTTTAGAAATTTTAGTTTTATTAAAACAAATTCATTATGTCATCAACAATTCATGTTGAATTTCTTTTATGTATTATGGATGAAGCATGTGAAGAATGGAAACAAAAATTTCAAAAATTTACTGTAGAATTATTACAAAATATATTATTAGTTTTTAATGTTGGTGCTGAATATATGACTGAACTTTCAAAATCAACGACTAATGATAAACAAACTATTGAAGATCATGAAAATGTTGAACGTATTATATCAAAATTAAAACATATAAAGACTTCTTTGGGAAATTTATGGCCAAAAACTATTACTTGTTTTGTTAGAGATGCATTTGATGTTGGTTCATATCATATTAATGTAGATGAATATTTTCACCCTACTCCATTTTATCAAAACAATCCGTTCTTAATGAAATTGTATCAATGGTCAGTTTATGATGTAAATCGAAAACTTGTTTGCTGTTATTTTTTAGAAACAACCCAACTCCCAAATCATCCAGAATATTATGTTTTAGGAAAAACACGGTTAAATACACATTCTCAAATTTATCCATATGGATCAACAATACCTGATTATTATCAAATGAGAATGGATGTTATTAAGGATGTAAATGGTCAAGGTCCTCAACCTGTAGTTACATTAACAAGAAATCGTCATAATATGGAGATGAACTTTAACTGAAAACATTTTGTTATTTTCGATACGGTAAAATATAAATTCAAGTATAATACTCTCAAAATATTTCATGAAAAATATTTGATAATAAATAGCAATATTATGTGACAGTTTCTGAACTAAGACCCAAAGGCTGAAGCTTGATGATATATATGCTTTCTTTCATGGAAGAGAAAGAGAAGACGACTCTACTACATACTCTTCACTCTATATATAGTGCATATATGTCGGTGCATATGCTGCAAGGATAAAAACGTCAGTAGGCCTAATATGATTGTCACACTCCTAAGCGCCGGAAAAATGAAGAGAAAGGAAAAGAAAAGAAAAAAAAATAAAGACGAAAGAAGAAGAGAGAAAAAAGAAAGAGGACAGAATGGTTATGTAGTTGTGACAGGTTTGGTAGAAATCTGGATATAGATAGATGATAATTTTCGACGATTGTTAAAGAAGCTGGGTGTGGGTGTGGGTGAGTATACTGTATTTACCTGCAATCCGCATCGACACCCACACCCTTGATTTGGAATTCATTTTTTCAATAAAGGATTTAAATTCATCAAAGTTTAAGTAATTTGTAAATATCGATAAATGAATAAGATTATTTAAATTCATTGGTAGTATATCTTCTATATCTGAATCATCCTTACTTGCATGTGAAAGATTAAGACGACGAAGATTTGATGTATAAGATATTAATACATTAAGTTCATCAAATGTATACCAATGAGCTATTTTTAGATATTCAATTGGAATTAGTATTGAACATTCATTTCCATATAAAGAAAGTTCATTTGATTTTAATTTTGGCTATGAGAATATTAATTGATAAATATGATCTAAATCTTCAATTGAATCTGTTGTTTGGATATTTAATGGATAAAGACAAGGTAATTCAGATAAATGAATAGGTAATACAATAAGTTTATCTTTGGGAATATTATCAATACGAATTGATTGCAGATTGTCAAATGAACAATCAATTGAATAGATTTGATGTTGGATTTGTTTATAATTATTCAAAAATTCTTCTCTTTTGTGGAATAATAAAAATTTATTTGATATCGAAACGATGAACATATAATTAATTGTTGAAAACGATAATTAACATTTGAAAATGCTATACAAATATCCAAACCATCAAGATAATCAAATATTTCATTCGACAAATTTTCAATAGAATTTAATTCACCTTTATTAAAAAAATAACTTCAGATATTATTATAATCAAATGATTTTACTTCGTAGTTTCTTTGGATTTTCTTCAGACAGTTCTTTAAAAGTTAAATTTCGTTTGATAGTAGCCATGTGTCTATACTTAAATGATATTCAAGAAAAGAATTCAAATATATAGACTCCGTTTTTTTTCTTTCCTTTTCGATCGATTACATTCGTCCGTCATGTTCCGAAAGGAATTCATTCTTTTAACTACTATACATCATTTCAGAAGAATTGAATCACGTGTTTATTGTTTGCTAAAGTAGTTTTTATAATATTTATCGAATAATATTTTGAACAAGAATTTTTGTTTAATTCAAAAATTCGAACGAAATGATTCAAGTAATACTAATTGAAGATAATAAGTTAAAAGTTGAAATTCAAACTTAACTTTAATAAGATTTCATTTTTAGAAGAAAATTCTTCCATGGATTCTCATTAGTTAAATCACTATTACTCGTTGCTTGTAAAGTTGAATGAATTAATACATCTACATCAATGAGACATTCTTCAAGAGATTGATAGGATACAATTATATTTATTAATTTCAACTAGAGTTCTTTGGTTTTACCTTCGAAAAAATGAAGCGTAAGATGAATAAGACAATGTGAAAACTGTTTAAGACATATTGTCATATCCGAATTTTGTTTATCAATAAAAAGATAAAAATATGTATTTGGGCTTCGAATATATTGAAAAGTAGAAGTTGCATCAATATGTTTATATTGATGTATCCTTCGTTTATAAGAATCAACATCAATTATTAAATGTGTTAAGAAGTTCGATTGTTGTTCAAGTGAACGGTCAAAATTAAAAATAAAATTTTGATAAATGTCATATTTTCTTATTTCTAATGATTGGACAGATATTGGTAAATTCATTTATCATTATATGTTTCAATTAATGCTATTAATTTAAGATAAAGAAATCTTAAGGGTGTGAGTATCATATTTATACCATATCTATACTCACCACTCACTCCACATCCTCACCCTCAAGTTTGATTTTATCCTTTTTCTTGGAAATGCAATATGACGAAAGATGGCCAATTTAATGAAATTTTATTGAAAGATTAGAATTATTACACTAAGATGACAATGAATAATTCCAACTAAATGAAATACTGAAAAGCATAAAGAGCACAAGAGTGACAACTACATATGCAGGAAAACTGGAAGTACAAGCAATTTGATTAGAAAAAGTAAAAGTCCAGGATCTGGAATCTAAAATGGAAGGAATATACACACACACACGCATCACACAGTAGTCATTAACACCACGAGCAGGACATTTCCGAAAGGATTGATATATGTTAACATCCGTCGGATATGAGACTGTATTTCCAAATACCGTTAACGTAATAAGGCCAAGACGATGTTTGAACGATGTATGTGTAGATATTACCAACCGTATCTAGTTGTAAGTTTGTATATATATTATACATTCCAATGGAAAACGCACCGTTAGAAGCTATCGTTTTTAAATAGCCAGTTCGACGAACGAATCGATAAATGGAACTGCCTCCCAAGACATAGATGTTTCCTGATCTGTCAAATGTTAGTCGATTAGGTGCATATTGACCTCCAACCGTGAGCAGAACCGTACCTTGTGAACTACCAGATGGATACATCATCACTCGGCTAAAATAAAACATATCATTCATCAAGTGATCAGCGTTTATCCACAACGTCATAAGTTGAACAAGGAGTTTACAGAATTGAACAGGTGTCTCCAATATATCTTATGACTGAAACTATATTGCTGCGTTCTGTTAGATAGGAGTGTATCAGGTTCTTCTTAACTGACGAGGGAACCTTTTTAGGTGTTGGTCTCGAATTTGAATTATTTTCCGGCCCATTAGTACTATGTAGTGCCCTAATAAGAACCCTAAAAGGATTTGAGTTGATATTCATTCCTTCAAAGGTTATGGCCATTTTACTGAATTTTCGACCTGATCCTAGGTATAGATCGGGAAAACCTAAATAACGAATTTCGAAGTGAAATTTGGC